GTTGCTTGTCTTACGATTTCTTTTTGAAATTATCTGCTTTAAACTAGAAATAAAAATCACACGCTCACTTATCTCCTTTGAGACGTGTGAAGGAGTTCACAACTACTCGCTTGATCGACTTCGGTCATCCAAGCTATGATTGGAGCTTTGAAAGCTGCTCCAACGATTTCTTTTGGGTCTGTGAGTTGCTTTAGCAAAATCGCAGGAATCTGGGGGGTTCAACATTTTTTTTTTGAAACGGTATTCAACATTTTCTTTTCAAGTTGCTATCTGTGACTTCATGGCAAAAGACCCTAGAACCATGTCTTATTATATTGATTTAGGGTATTTCAAACAATTTGTGGGTTTGGGTAATGTTGTGAAAGGATAACCTGACTATTTGCATCATGTGCAGAAATCATTACCTCTCACTTGCCGTGGATTACTTCGCACCAATCCACGCACAAGCTCCCGGCCTCCGCCTTCCAGCCCATCATTTCCAATTGTTTCAAATACCACTTTTTTTTCTTTGCGTTTTTATGAAAAGGTTCAGATCTGTTATAAAGTTGACCAGAAGTACAATGCATCTAAAACATAATAGAAATTACAGCGAGATTCCAAAACCACTGAATGACCATTACTGCCCGCCAGAACGAGTCGCTGTCGCCACTCCTCTATCGGAGTCAGCTTGACCTTGTCGATGACAGACGGGAAGTCTTCATGCACGTGCCCCTAAAGACCAGCGGCCTAGACCCGCAGTCGTCGTTGTTGAACTCTTGCATAGATCGGAAGCACCTCACACCAATCCCGTCAGATGACGAGAAACCATAACCTCACTGCCCCAAGGAGACGACAGGAATCTACTCTGAAGCTCCGTCACTACGTTTAGACAGGTGAATCCGAGGAGGATCGGAGCCCGAAAGATAAACTTGAAGAAGCAGTGCTGCCATCCTGCCGAGCGCCGCACCTGTGAGGACTAAAAACTCTAACCTAAACTGTAACCAGAGCGAAGGCACTAGAATTATCCTCCCCTCCACCGGCCGCCGGAGTGGCAGGAAGAGGGGAGGTGAATCCACAGGCTCACCGATGAAGTATGGAGGGGAGAGTTTGCCCTAGCCGCCTAGGGTTAGGGAAGGAAAGCCAATTGTTTCAAATACCTAATCAGCTGGAGGGCGAAGCTACTTCCTCATGTTGCTCATCTTTTGTTAGTATCCTTCGATGTACACCGTTTGGCCACATATTTCATATCTGTTTTTAGTTGCCAAAAAAAATCTCAAATCCATTGACACCATTTACGAGCCTTCTTCTGGATCACTGAGGAACCGAGTAGGGTGCAAACATCTTTTTGCGTGGAGAAATGATAACCACAATGGGTAGCTGGGGAGCATCGCATCCATTGCCGATTGTGCATACGGGGCACTCCAGTACCCGCACGCCACCTGGGCTGGTGACTTCATCACCATCTTGAAGATCTTTGTCGATCCCAGGCTCCAAAATATGACACCTTTGCCATCCCATCCCATCCCATCCCATCCCATCTATTGAAGTAATGCATGAGGATGAGGACCAATCCTGCCTCAAGCTCATCCTTGGCAGGGAAAGCCTGTCGGCCACACACGTGTCTTCTTTGACACAACAGCTTGGTCTTCTCTTTCAAGGTCGCCCTCAGCAACTACTGAGCCGCCTCAAGAGTGATCGGGGTGGGTGGGAGTGGTTGGTGCATACGACAACGACTCCTCGTGGTTTGACATTTTCCTAAGTGAGGTTGAGTGTCAAAGTTGTCGCCCCCCAGATCTATAGCGAGGGAGTTCTGTTCTCACACTCTCACATTGCTCCCCTTTGTTGAAAGCAAGCACCAACCCAAGCCCAATGTATCTATGATCATTCCCATCCATTGAAGAAGTAATGCATGAGGATGACAACCAATCCTTCCTCAAGTTCATCCTCCTAGCGACGAAGGTCCGCCGGCCGCACGCATGTATCTCCTTTGACGCAGACAGCTTGATCTTCTCATTCAAGGCCATCCAGCAACTATCGAGCCACCTTAGGAGTGATCAAGATGGGAGTGGCCAACGCCAACGACACCCACTTTCCTTGCATTGATATTTCCCTTGGTGAGGTTGAGTGTCAAAATTGTCGGTCCCCAAATCCATAGTGAGAGAGTTCTGCTCTCGCACAATCCCATTCCTCTTCTTTATCGAAAGTAAGCACCCACCCAAGCCAGCGTACCTATCAGCATGCTTCCTACTATTGGGCCGCTACTATCGCTCGCAGGCATGCCCATCTATCCGCTGCCACCTACCCGCCCTGTGCAACACATATCCAAGCCCACCATGTCCTCACCACCTGGCCCATCTGTATCGAACCGTTGGTTGCAACCCCGTCACTTATTTTTGGGCACGCTGCCCAATCGGCTTCTTTCCACGATTTCCTCCACAGAAGTGCGGCACGGGGCTTGTGCCCTATTGGCTACTGCCAACGCCTGTGTGGGGCGTTGCGGTATATCGCTCATGGCATGCGAGAAACATCGCTTTTCTCGCGTGGTTCGGGTCAGCAGCTGCTACATGGTCCTGGCCTGCTCGCGTGCATCGACGAGCGAGAGAGAGCGTCTCCTAACGAGATAGCTAGGTGAGACTTTTAGTTGTTTCATTTCCAATTAGTAAATATATATATATATATATATATATATAGGGAAAATCCATCCTACCACCTGGTGGTAGTTACCCCACATGTCTCATATACTACCATGTGGTACTATATATATTATTTTATTATTTTAAATATATTCATATACTATATCTAAGATATTTCAAAGCAAGTTACATGAAAAAATTGCATATGAGCCCATAGTTTTTGTTATATTTGTAAAATACGTACATATTTGTACGTAAAAATGAGCATACTCAAAAAATGGTACATACTACCTAAAAATTAGTATATATACTACCTAATCATTGTTATATACTACATACTACACGTACATACTCTCGGTTCCGACAGATACTACATACAACATATAAAACGCAAGTGGTGGTAACTACCACTGCTTGTAGGAAACATTTGTCCTATATATATATATATATATATATTCTCAAATTTGAAAAAAAATCATGAATTTTTTAAATTCAAAAAATGTTCATGGATACAAAAAAAGTTCACGGTTGAAAAAATTGTTGGAAATTAAAAAAATGTTCATAAATTCAGAAAATAATCGTGAATTAAGAAATGATTCACGAATTCAAAAAATCATTAAATGAAAAATATTCTTGAATTCAAAACATCAGTAAAAGTAACACACAAAATGTTTGTGAACATTTTTTGAACATTTCTTGAAATTGTGAATAATTTTTGTAATCCCAATTTGTTTTTAAATTTTATTTCCTTTTTAAAATTTCAAGCATTTTTTAAGAACAGGAACAATTTCTAAGTAAATTTTGAAGATTTTTTCTTTTTTTAATTTGTGAGTTTTTGAAAAAAAAGGAACTGAAAAAACGGGAAAGCAAACCAAAACAAAATACAAAATAAAACAGATAGAACAGTATTAAAAAAAGGTTCAGAAACCTTCCTAATGAGCCGCCCCATCTCGTACGCTAGTGAGCGATCAGAAGCTTAATGCTCACAACAAGCGATACATAGCATTTGTGGAGCCTGTGTAGGATATATTCTGTAACTGCAGGGCGCTGCCGTAGGAACCAGACTGGGCGGATGGGAATGCCACTCCCCCAACCCTAAAACTCCTTGTACGAACTTCACACAAAGCAATTCAGCTATCGACGCTCAAAAAAAAAATCAGCTATCGGGGATTTGAGGAAAGTTCTCACGAGACATACTATTAGCATTTGGCAGCAGTAACGGGGTAACCGGTAACGTTTCCTCCAGCAAGTTGTTTCAAGTACAATCATCCAAAGTCAAGTCTACAATTAAATCTGTTTGCAAGCTCATAACATGTAGCCGCTTTTAGAACGAAGCATAGGCATATTGTGATGATACTAGATTCAACCGTGTGTCCGTGGTCAAGCTGGGTGCCTGTACACTTCACAGCTCAAGCTTGCTGGCAAGGTACCAGGAGTGCATGGCAAGGCTGCCGAACGACAAGATGTTGGCCAGCGATGAGAGACCGTGGATCATCCCAAACTTCTTGTTCATCGCAGCGAGGGTAGGGTTGCTTTTTGCCGTCTTGACGTTCTTTGACCACCCGACCTCGTCACCGATGCTAAGCTCTCTCTCGATCTTGTGCCTCTTCTTCATCATCTGCAATGAGCAAGCATACAACTAGTTCAAGCAGCTGTGTATACCAGAAAATGCAAGGAAATAGGAAAAGTGTGCCTTCTAGTTTATCAAAGTACAATTCCCATTCACCTAGGTTCACTTCACACAATAAAAAATGTGTTCCTTTTCTCACAATTCATATCAATGTTTCTTCATATAAGTACATCATTCTAGACGTTGTCACATACTGATATTAAGCTAACAATTAAGCATGAGTGCAAATCTTGGAATATGAATGGCCCAACAAATGGTGTCAAGATGTGGCCAATTATTTTGCTTATAAACTTCAGGTTTTCTTAATTTCCATTGCCACTTACATTCTTTTAATGTATGGATGAAGACTACTGCATCTTGCCTAGCAATCTAGCTAAAACTGTTTTTCTTCCATTGTAGATGCAGGTTTTCCCTGCCCTGATGTGCATGGATCCATCTAATTCCATAAAAAGAATGCTAGCAATAATATGGGCAGTTGGTGCACCGACAGATCTATATTGAGTACTGAAACTGTACCATTAATAGACCATTAACAAAACAAGGCTGCCCAACCACAATGTGAGACTAATAAATTCAGAGAACAGTTTTACAATTGTACTGTACATTATACAAGGCATATTTACACCAAATATTGGTTTTAGAAATAAGTATCATATCATAGAAAGCATAATCACATGAAGAAAACTGGGCACAGAGTATAGCAGTGAGCAGAATATTACAAGATGCATGATTGCATGAAAAGATAGCCTAGACAAGCATTTAACATTAAGTTACAGCAAATATTTGGTTGAAGTACTGCCAACGACCAAAAGCAATAAAATGACAACGGCAGAATCAAGATAGCCCACCCAAAATAAAGGTTTGCCACAAACTGCAACCTTCGAACACCTCCGGTACACAAATAGCATGTCACTAAACTATCAACCAACATAGAAGTACTAGCAAAGTAAATATACTTTTATCAGCTTTGCCCTCTGTTTACATGATGTTACATTCAACAGATAATGCTACTATGCTGCTAAGTATATATGGCATGCAACTGCAAATTAGATGATGAGTATAACATGCGAACAGAACATTATATGTTCACCATACGAATTGCTGATTGCTGCTAAGTAGTCCTTGGTACAAATCCCAGGGTCAATTGCTTATTCGGAGCAATGACAACAATCAATAACTTCAGTTATCTAGTCCAGTTTACAGAGGGTGGATCTAATATTTGTTTTATCTTGCAGGGAATTTACCAAGAGATCTCCTGGGGGGGGGAGGGAGGGGCGTTTACCTCAATGGTCATGGGGGTGAAGACCAGCAGGTTGGAGAGGTTGAAGCCGAGCGCGGAGATGAGGAAGCCAAGCTGGTAGCGCTCCACGGCGGAGGCGGCCTTCCACGGGTGGAGGTAGGCGAAGGCGGCGACGGAGACGGCGGCGCAGGCGGAGATGAGCGTGAAGTAGGCCGGGAACATCTTCCCCTGCAGGTTCCCGAACTGGTGCCTCGGCAGATTCCTTGGAGGATTCAGTAAAAGCGAATCGATCAGCTCAAGAGATTTCGTTCGTTTTTCAAAAAATTGGGGGAATTTGAGCATGGGGGGAAGCAGATGATTACTTGAACATGATGATTCCGCCGATGAAGGTAGCCCAGAGCGCAGCGCCCCAGCAGGTGGCGAAGCAGAGGAGGTGGGACACCTTGGCGGCCGTGACGGCGGTGGCGCCGGAGCCGGAGCGGTCGCCGACGAGGACATCTGGGGCGAAGAGGACGCCCGCCGCGAAGAAGCACACCGCAGACAGGAACCGTGTCGCCCACGCCATCGCTCGCCGATTGCTAGAGGGGGGAGGAGGAGAGGGAGGGAGAGTCGACGCGTCGTTTATGTGAGAGAGAACTCAGGAAGGAGGTAGTTGATGATGTGTTTTGGGGGCTCGGGGCCTTCTAGAAGCTTCATATAACACTAGCACCAACCATACTCAGAAGTTCTTTGTTTTTAGAGTAAAGCCAACTTTATTATAGTATTTTATTTCTGTCAAAGAATAATAATTATATTAATCAAAAACCACAACTAGTGGGACACAATTTTGGTTATACCATACCCATAGGCAATGTTGAGGATAATTATCATCTTGGTTGGTGGGGATTAGAGATTAATCAGAAATCGTCTGATTAATTGATTTTATTGGTCCAAATCTCAGGTTTCTAACACTAAAATACGCTATATTCAACGCTAAAACAATATTTGGTAGAAGTGTTACCTTGATTTCTATCCTTTTAATCCTCATATAATGACAAACAAAATAAGACAACAATACATATTGCATAAGAAGGTCCACAAAACATATATATACATAGTTTTCTTTTTTGCAAACATAGTGCTATGAATAGGTCCGATTTATCGGTAGATTCCCTGAAGATAGGGCATAATCTTATCGTTCACCCCCGAGTAGCGATAAATCAAAAGATTAATCGTTGAATCGAAAGATTTTTTTAAACAATGCTCATAAGTACTCCTCTGAATAAAACGATTGTATATTTCTTTACACAGAGAGTATGTCACTAATATATAAATCTTAGATCAAATTTAACATTAACTCACCCAATAAGTTATAGTAGTATACCTATTGGCATGTTTGTTTTTTAGGGAAATTGAGAGTTTTTCCTTATGTAAAGGTATAAGGATCTCCAACGGCGACCCGCAAATGTCCTTTTCTTCGTTGGTCTTGCCGAACACTGCCTCGCACGCCTCATTGCACTCCTTGTAGGCGGCTGCCACCTCCGCCACCCGCTAGCGGTATCGCCAGCGGGCGAGGCGGATATCGCCGGAGGAGCGATAGGAGTCAAGCAACGCCTCCTGCTCTGCCAGGTCCGCATCCGACGCGATCGCCCTGCCGGCGGCGAGCTTTTCCTCCGCCTGCTCCTCCCACACCATGTCCATGTTGGGGAACGTAGCATGCAATTTTAAAAAAATTCCTACGATCACGCAAGATCTATCTAGGAGATGCATAGCAACGAGAGGGGGAGAGTGTGTCCACGTATTCTCGTAGACCGAAAGAGAAAGCGTTAGGTTAACGTGGTTGATGTAGTCGAACGTCTTCATGATCTAACCGATCCAAGTACAGAACGTACGACACCTCCGTGTTCAGCACACGTTCAGCTCGATGACGTCCCTCGAGCTCTTGATCCAGTAGAGGGTCGAGGGAGAGTTCCGACAGCACGACGGCGTGATGACGATGATGGTGATGTGATCTGCGCAGGGCTTCGCCTAAGCACTACGACAATATGCCCGAAAGAGTAAGCTGTGGAGGGGGGGGGCACCACACACGGCTAATAGAAATCTTGGTGTGTCTTTTGGGTGCCCCCACCCACGTATATAAAGGGGGGAGGGGAGGAGGAGGTGGTCGGCCCAAGGGGGGCACGCCAAGGAGGTGTCCTACTTGGACTCCTAGCCCAAGTAGGATTCGGCCCCCCTTCCTTCCAACAGAAAGGGGAAAGGGGAAAGGAGGGAGAAGGAGAAGGAAAGAGAGGGGGGCGCCACCTCCTGTGTGCTGCCTTCTCTTCTCCACTATGGCCCATTAGGCCCATTAACTTTCCCCAGGGGGGGGGGTCCGGTAAGCTCCCGGTACTCCAAAAAATCCCCGAACCTTATCAAAACCATTCCGGTGTCCGCTTATAACCTTCCAATATATCAATCTTTACCTCTCGACCATTTCGAGGCTTCTCGTCATGTCCGTGATCTCATCCGGGACTCCGAACAAACTTCGGTCACCAAAACACATAACTCATAATACAAATCATCATCGAACGTTAAGCGTGCGGACCCTACGGGTTCGAGAACTATGTAGACATGACCGAGACACATCTCTGGTCAATAACCAATAGTGGAACCTGGATGCTCATATTGGTTCCTACATATTCTATAAAGATCTTTATCGGTCAAACCGCATAACAACATATGTTATTCCCTTTGTCATCGGTATGTTACTGATACGTCTCCGTCGTATCCATATTTTTTTATTGTTCCATGCCAATATTATACAACTTTCATATACTTTTGGCGACTTTTATACTATTTTTGGGACTAACATATTGATCCAGTGCCCAGTGCCAGTTCCTGTTTGTTGCATGTTTTTTGTTTCGCAGAAAATCCATATCAAACGGGGTCCAAACGGGATAAAAGCGGACGGAGAATATTTTTGGAATATTTGTGAAATATGGGAAGAAGAATCAATGCGAGAAGGTGCCCGAGGGGGCCACGAGGCAGGGGGCACGCCTGCCCCCTGGGCGCACCCCTGACCCTCGTGCCCCCCGTAAGGCGGTTGCTACTCTTCTTTGGCCGCAAGAAAGCTAATTTTCGAAGAAAAATCAGGGCGAAGGTTTCAATCAAACCGGAGTTACGGATCTCCGGATATATAAAAAACGGTGAAAGGGCAGAATCCGGGAGCGCAGAAACAGAGAGAGACAGAGAGACAGAGAGATAGATCCAATCTCGGAGGGGCTCTCGCTCCTCCCATGCCATGGAGACCAAGGACCAGAGGGGAAACCCTCCTCCCATCTAGGGAGGAGGTCAAGGAAGAAGAAGAAGGGGGCCCCTCTCCCATCTAGGGAGAGACAGATCCTATGATGTCTGAGTAGATTTTCGTTGTCCTATCGATGATTGGTGAATTACTATGATTGATTTAATTTGCTTATGGTTATGTTGTTGTCCTTTGGTGCCCAACATATGAGCGCGCGCGTGGATCACACCATATATAGGGTTAGTTGTATGTTGATAGGACTATGTATTGGAGGGCAAGAGTGACAGAAACTTCAACCTAGCATAGAAATTGATGCATACGGGATTGAAGGGGGACCAATATATCTTAATGCTATGGTTGGGTTTTACCTTAATGAATGTTAGTAGTTGCGGATGCTTGCTAATAGTTCCAATCATAAGTGCGTAGAATTCCAAGTCAGGGATGACATGCTAGCAGTGGCCTCTCCCACATAAAACTTGCTATCGGTCTAGTAAAGTAGTCAATTGCTTAGGGACAATTTCGTAACTCCTACCACCACTTTTCCACACTCGCTATACTAACTTTATTGCTTCTTTACCTAAAATAGCCCCTAGTTTTTATTTACGTGCTCCTTATATATTCTTGCAAACCTATCCCGTTACACCTACAAAGTACTTCTAGTTTCATACTTGTTCTAGGTAAAGCAAACGTTAAGCGTGCGTAGAGTTGTATCAGTGGTCGATAGAACTTGAGGAAATATTTGTTCTACCTTTAGCTCCTTGTTGGGTTCGACACTCTTACTTATCGAAAGAGGCTACAATTGATCCCCTATACTTGTGGGTTATCAAGACCTTTTTCTGTCGCCGTTGCCGGGGAGCAATAGCGTGGGGTGAATATTCTCGTGTGTGCTTGTTTGCTTTATCACTAAGTAATTTTTATTTGCTGTTCTAAGTTGTTCTCTATCTTTAATTATGGATATGGAACACGAAATACCAAAAAAACTAGGTGTACCTGCTACTCATGGAGATGGGGAACCTCCTAAAACCCTCGATGTTGGTTATGTGAAAAATATTATGTACTACTTTGATAATCCTGAGAAAACCCCATTCAATTATGTAATGGGAGACATGTTGGGTCAACGTGAATACTTTAGGGATTATCGCTTGACTCAAAAAGGGAAACTATTATGGGATCAAATTCATATGTTGCATTGGTATGCTTGGGAACTATGCTCGAGATATGACTATACTTGTTGCTCTAGGATGAAGGCTCCACACCTTCCCTTTTCATGCAAATTTAATGATGATAAAACCTTGGCATCTTATGCTAATGGTATATATGATTACTATGATGTGGAACAAGTATAAGAATTTGTTGCTTTTATAGGTGCTTATGAAATTGAATCTTTGTTTAAAGAGTGTGAAAATCTAGATGATGCCGCTTACAGACCTGAAAATTTTGCTATACTTAAACATTGCTATGAGAATTATGAATTCAATTCCGATATTGATGATTTTATTGAGAGAGTCTCCGCTGTCCAAGAAAACACTAATATTTTGCAGGAGTCTATGGAAGAAGAAATTGATTAAACTGTGAGCTCATTGGATGAAAAAGATGATGGGGGGAGCGAAGAACAAAAGGAGGAAGAGCGGATTGATCACCCGTGCCCACCTTCTAATGAGAGTAACTCTTCAACTCATACATTGTTTAATTTTCCTTCGTGCTCACTGAAGGATGATTGCTATGATGACTGTTATGATCTCATTGATTCTCTTGAAATATCCCTTTTTGATGATGCTTGCTATGATTGTGGCCAAGTTGCCAATATGAATTATGCTTATGGAGATGAACTTGCTATAGTTCCTTATGTTAAACATGAAATTGTTGCTATTGCACCCACGCATGATAGTCCTATTATCCTTTTGAATTCTCCCAACTACACTATATCGGAGAAGTTTGCTCTTGTTAAGGATTATATTGATGGGTTGCGTTTTACTATTACACATGATGATTTTGATGGATATAATATGCATGTGCTTGCTGCTCCTACTTGCAATTATTATGAGATAGGAACTACATCTCCGCCTCTTTATGTTTCCAACACGAAAAAATTGCAAGAAACTGTTTATACTATGCATTGGCCTTTACTTTGTGTGCATGAATTGTTCTTTTATGACATGCCGATGCATAGGAAGAGAGTTAGACTTTGTCATTACATGATATATGTTACTTTGTGCTAACTACTAAATTACAAATCATTGTTAATTAAAATTTGCTTTGATATACCTTGGGATCCGGGTGGATCCATTACTTGAGCACTATATGCC